TACAGCCCACTTCTTCGGATGCATATAGGATGCTATATGCATCCGAAGAAGTGGGCTGTAGTCCACGAAAGCTTATGCTCTAATAAATTTGTTAGTCTCTAAGGTGCCACAAGTCCTCCTGTTCTTCTTTTTTTAGTAGGAGTGTAGTTACTGAATACAGTCTGGATTAGAACCTCAGGATTTGGCTCTCTATGAATTCAATCAAAACAGTATTTTTCTGAACATCATGAGATAGGCAGGAGATGAGAAGAGAGAGAAATTAGCAGGGAAATAAAAAACAATTACATTATTGTTATAGAGCTTGATGCTAAGGAGAGATGTGCAGGAGTTGCAGTGACTGGACTTATTAATTGTCTTTTATAGTAGTACTTTGTAATTCCATATCATCTTTCAGAGCACCTTGTAGACTTTAGTCAATCTTCACAATACCCTTGTGTGATGCATACATATTATCTCCATTGTATAGATGGGGAAATTGAGGCACTGATGGGTGCAAGGACTTTCCCACAATCGCACAGTGAGTCAGAGTCAGATCTAGGGATAAGGCCATGAACACCTAACTACCAATCACCTGCTTCAGACACTAGCCACACTCTTCTCTCCTCCTGCTGCTGCAGGAGAAACACAGCAATGGGAGAAGACACTGGTCTTATATAGATCATTTGTTTAAAACCAGGATCCCTGCAGCATTTTCTGTGTAGGGAGCACACTGTGTTGTTTGAACAGCTGACTGTGTTTGTTTAGTGAGAGTGAACACGAAGGACACTGTGGAAGCAAGTCACAATAACTCATCATGTCTTTATTTGTTTTGACATCAGGTGAAATTGGGAGGAGAAGCCCCAAACTCCAATGTGATCCACATAGCTAATGGCAGCAGCAGCAGCAGTAGCAGAAGGAAAAGTGTTGGCGGGAAATATGGAACCAAGTGCCACCTCCTTGACTTTGCCAATTCAGAGCGCCCGCTGGTGGTTAACTTTGGTTCAGCCACCTGACCCCCATTCACGAGCCAGCTGTCGGCCTTTGGCAAGCTGGTGGAGGAGTTCTCAGGTGTGGCCGATTTCCTGTTGGTCTACATCGATGAGGCTCACCCATCGGATGGCTGGGCTGCCCCTGGGATCTCCCCCTCCTCATTTGAGGTGAGGAAGCACAGGAACCAGGAAGACCGATGTGCTGCTGCTAACCAGCTCCTGGAGCGGTTTTCCTTGCCACCCCAGTGCCAAGTGGTAGCTGACTGCATGGACAATAATGCCAATGTGGCCTATGGGGTCTCCTTTGAACGAGTGTGCATCGTGCAGAGACAGAAAATTGCCTACCTGGGGGGCAAGGGCCCCTTTTTCTACAACCTCCAGGAAGTCCGGCTTTGGCTGGAGCAAAACTTCAGCAAGAGATGAAATCCAGTCTAAGTTGAACAAAGTGTGTCAAGAGCCTTGTCCCTTTAAAGTGATATAAAAGGGAAAAAAAACACACTGTTTTACAATAGGTCTTTTGGGGCCTGTTGCAGGAGAACAGGTTCAATAATAAGGTCAAATGAATGCAAGCCAGGAAAAAAACAAAAAAAAAACCCAAGCACATAAAAAGAGAATTGTGTGAGACAATCCTACTCCTGTCTTCTTAACAGGGCAGAAAAGGCCACTGTGAAAAGTGCTGCTGCTGCGCATGAAAGGTGGTGGGATGAGATTTCTCACCCATCCTTTTAACAACATGTTGACTTTAGGTTCAGAAGAAAGCATTGCTTCCTGGAAGGCGATTCTGCGGAGAGGCAACCTCATGTATTTGATCAGGGACATCTCACTTTTCCATTGAGGCCTGTGTAGGCAACTTGCCAGCAACCTGGGACCTTCAATTAATTTGCATAAAATGGAGTGGATTATGACTGCCTTCCTGTTTTGATAGAGATGTATGACCCAGCAGAGACTACAAGATCCACCATGCAGTGCAAACTGGCTGCTCAGTTCAAGATGAAACATTGTATGTGGATTTTGGTACTCTCTACAGGCAGCCTCTCTGCATTGTGTGTGTGTACAGTACGCACACATACACACACACACAAACACACACACACACTCTTAGGCTTCTGTATGTTAACAATTAAATTGGCAGCAGGCCACACCATAGAACTCCATAGGCTGCATTTGGCTCTCAGGCTACACCTTGGTCACCACTGTGAGACAGAGAAGGAGAGAGAGAGAGAGTGAAGAAAAGCAGTGATGGGCGGGCGGGAGAGGGAGAAGGATACAGATGAAAGAGTCTGCAAGATCCTAAGATCAAAGGAGTGAGGGAGAAAGAAACAGAGATTGTATAATAAAACTATAACTTTTCACTTTGAAAATTCAGAAAGTGGGATTATTTGTCACCAACACACACAGATATACACACACAGCGAAGAGTTCAGCTGATGCCAGCCTTCAATATGTGGGACTGAAAAGATGTATTCATTGCTGCTTTTTACTTTTTCTTTCTTAAAGAGAAACAGCAGAGAGAGAGAGAGAGAGAGAGAGAGAGTAAGTTA